AAAAATGGCGATTGCGTAAAAACTCACGGAAGGCGTTGACAAAAATTAACGATTGACCCCGACGTGATTTGAACACGCAACCTTCTGATCTGGAGTCAGACGCGCTACCGTTGCGCCACGGAGTCTTGGCGGTGATTCGCTGCCGAGTAAGAAATACATTCGTATCCTGATAAACAGGGAATGGAAGTAACTCGTTACTTGTAACGAAGTTACAGTTACAAGTTACTTTTTTGGTAACTTTACTAGTAACTGCGTTACTTTTTTTCTTTGGTAACTGTAACGGTAACGAAGTTACATTTTTTTGGTAACGGTAACGAATTTTACAGTTACTTTTATCGTTACTTTGCACATGATTGGACACGATGCGACACAAGCCACTTACACTGTAAAAAAATTTCGTAAATTTACACATATAATAAATGTAAAATAGATTACATGATTAGTTCTGTAAATATAAAAAATCATGCAATTTTACAGAAATTATGTAATTCCACAAAAATTATGTAAATTTATTTTTATTGTGTAAATATATCTTATTTTATATTGGAAATTATGTAAATAGCAGGATATTTTGAATATTTCCTGTAATTATCCAAATTACTAAGTTTTGTACATATACATATATATATATTCTATATTTTCATTACGAATGCGTATATATTATCCAAATTTTAGTAATATTACGTAATATAAAAGAAATTTTTCGCGTATTGTTGTTAAATGTATAATAATATATAGTGCGAAATATATTGTCATATTATCGTTCCTGTAGCTACACATACACATTGTAATTGTACTTCCACAATCTGCTTAGTTCCAAACCAAGAAATTATTTTTATTTGCATATTGCAAATATACAAACGTGTGGACGTTTACAACTATTATAGTGGATCTCAAAATTATCCAGTATAATAGTTATAATTTTACACAATTTTTTACAATGCGCTTGAGACTAAAGAAGCCTCTAGGCCAGTCCGCTGTGATTGTTGGTCGTCGATTTAAAAAAAAGTAACGGAAAAGTAACGAAAAGTTACTTTCTCAAGTAACGGTAACTGTAACGAGTTACTTTTAAAAATCGGTAACTAGTAACGGTAACTTGTTACTTTTCCTACTCGGTAACGAGTAACTGTAACTTGTTACTTTTAAAAAGTAACTTTCCATTCCCTGCTGATAAATCATCAGATATTACGAATGATCTCATTTCTTATCTTACGTGTCACTACATGCCACGAATTTTATATCGAACGACAATAAGACTGATTCTTATAAACTTCTGGCGTATTAAAGTTTTTAAATGAAGAACACAGAGTAATATATTCCAAATATCGCAGCTCTTGCATTCGAAATACAATTACCTAAAAAAAAGTTCTTTATTTCCTTATTTAAACTATTTAAATTATTTTGTTTTTTAATAATATGCATGATATTTATACTGCAAGGAAAATAAAAGAAGACCCTTGTGGACATCTTTTAAGCTTCTTTGTATTTACGATGACACGCACGAGAACGTATTTTGACAGCTCGCATTCGCGTTTCGCCTTACCGATCCTCAAACTCGATGCACTTTGCGGCGTCTGCATGCAAAAGGAACATTAAGAGCGAGAGCACAGTCTTGTATAATAAAACATAATAACATATAATACGTAAAATAAGAAAATGGACCAAAATTCTTCATTTCTTTCCTTTCCATAAAATGGAAGATTCTAATTGGTTGACTTTCTTATGCTTTATGCATTATGCGTTATACAAAAAGTGCTGTGCTCCAGCCTTAAGATTACCGTGTCACGATCAGAGCTGTTCGACGCTAACACCGCTAGCTCAACTCGAATGTCCCGAGTACCCGAGTGTACGAGCTATACGATCGATACGTGGACGTACGCTACCGCATGTCCCCTGCTTTGCGAGGAGCGTTGGCTTCTTCGCATGTGTGCGTGCCGCCGCGCCGCGAGAAATTGAACGCCGACATCAGCCACATCGCCAAACGCAGCATTGCAGCGCGGCGAGGCGAGGCGAGGCGAGGCGAGGCGAGACGAGACGGGGCGAGACGGGGCGAGACGGGGCGAGACGAGAAGATGCGAGGAATTGGTGCGCGGCCGATCGTTGATAGTCGTCACCCCAGCGCGGCCAGCCCGGCCCAGCCCGGTGACGAGCACGTGGTGCGTGCTCACATCCCGCATGCGAGCACCGCGTTATCCGGACGGCACGCAGTGGTAGGAGCTCGTACGGCGCAGCTGTTCTCCCTACGTTGAACAGAGTTTCGCGCGGGTTGTCTCGCCGAGCCCCTCCTGCTACCAGGGAAACACATCGCACAAGGAGGCGATCTCGAGCTCTCTCCACTCTCTCAATCAAGCCGGCCGGCTCGTCGGCAATGTTCCATCATACCTTGACTTTCGCCCGTGAGGAATTTTTTCAACAGGAACGCATGCGGCCGCCCGCAATTTCGCGACGCCACCGATAGAAGCGCTGGTGTCAACAACGTCGGCCTACGTGTGCACGTACATATACATACATATATATGTACGTGTGCACGCACGAGATTATGTACTGGGTGTATCGTGGAGTTGCGTAGACGATTGATTCTTCCGGAGAGTCGAAGGACATTGGAAGAATGCGTGAAATAAAGTGGCACAGTTGATTTCGTATCAATATATACTGCGAATATAAAAATAATATATTTCCTCAAAAGAAATTTAATATTGTAAGTATTAAATTGATTAGTGTAACCGTTGTTAGTATACCTTTTATTCAAAATAAGTAATTGATCACTAACCACTTTAATACTTTATAGAGTATTATATTTCTCTAAGGTCTATAATTCTTATAGAAATTCAAATTGATTCTAGTCAATTTAATATTAAAAATTATTTGTTCTGATGATTATTAAAAGCATTGATGAATATTAAAAACATTGAACAATATAGAATATATAATAATATGTATATACATATAGTCTGTATCCATATACAGTATTAGTTGTCTCTTACAGAAATTTAAAGGATGGTAGTGATTAATTATTTATTTTAAATATTAAAAGCATTGAGCAACACACAGTGCTTTTAATATTCAAAATAAGTATAATTAATCACTATCTTCAATATTAAATTTCTGTAAGGTACATCCATACAGTAATATGATAATTTAGGCTATATAGAGTATACATATAATACTATTATATGTATATCGACTATATAAAATAGCTTTTTATGAGTTAATACGTTTTTATATGTTTGCATTTAAATTCCGATAAATAATACATATATACAACAAAACAAGATTCATAAGATGTACAAACAATAATTTTTGTACTAAGATCCGAATTTTACAAAATATAAAACTTAGCATCTCACGATACGAAATATATTGATACGATAAATTTATTGTATTAAGTACGAAAAGAGATCAATATGCATTCAATTGATCTTATTCATGATTTGTAAATTACGCAAAGTCGATTTTTCTGCCGCGTTGTCGCCACTCGTAAATGTCAGCAAAACATCATCGCCTTACTCCAATGTGTCGCGTGAGTCACCCTGTATATGTACATACACACTGCCTCGTTGCAGGTAATAGTCCCCACTCTTTCGCGTAGCAGGTTTAATTTTAGGGGAAAACGTAATAACGTTCGATCCGTTTGGGAGCTATTCCCATGGTGGCGAGGATACGCGACTTGCGTATCGAGTATCCTAGTTCGATGTAGACACGAGGTGTCCGAGCAACACCGTGGAAACCCGGAGTTAAAGTCGGCATTCGCGCGTACGTCGTTCTAGTCGGTAACAGTGGCGACGGCGACGACGACGGGGAATCGTACGTTATTAATGCCGATTTTGGGGAAAAACGGTGTCACTGTCCCCGTGGACGACGGTCCGCCGACTCCCGCGAGACGTAGAGGAGAGACGGCCGCGCGTCGGTCGCAGCCCCGCATCGCCGCGCACAACTCTCTGGCGCGGGCGGGCGCGGCCCAGCGGGATTCGCGCCGTGCCGGCCGCGGCGGCCTGCCGGGCCTGGTAGTCCTGCCGAAATTTCCGTCCATGCCGGAGTCAATGAACCAATAAGCGGTGGAAAGAGATCGCCGTGGACCAATGGGATATGGCTGCGCCGTGACGGTGCTTAGAGGCCCGCGCGCTCTTCCTCAAAATTGTGTCTTTCCGATCCACGGCGAACAGAAGCGGCCAGGAGTTGCGAGCACCTAGCACGATCAACCGCCAGCTGCGGCCACGCTCTTAGTGCTCCTACTCGGCGTTGCTGTGTCCCTGCTCGCCGCTCGGTTAAATTGTTGATTATGTCCATTCTGCTCGTTGACTGCAGATTATTCTCATGGGCTACGTGTAAATTAGCGTGTGGAGGACGAGCAGGGGTAACCGGAAAGATAGGTAGATTGACGAGTCGTTTAACACTGTGCGTATAACTGAACACTTGCTTCAACTGCTTTTGGTATCGTTTTAGCGGGAGTGGCTTGTGACATTACGACGCAGCGCATGGTGACATGTTATGTAAGATAAGTAGCGATGGCAAATAGACTATGCAGCGAGATATAGCGAGAACAATGGACGTTCGTATGCAGAAAGAATTGCTTTGTATGGTTCTTGTTCAATCTGTCAAACATCTATGAAGCATTAAAATATATTAAACAATCAAGTTGACAATACTCTGTATACGTATGTATACTGCATACACTTAATAGTTAATACTACATATTTTATTATTTTATATTATTAATATATTACATGTGTATATTTCGTAAATATTAGTAAGTCTTCTTGTGTTAATTTCAAGACTTAATCTGTATAGTAAAATTTTTATGTTACCCTGAAATAAAAATCTTAATCAAGCTCTGAGAATTTTTTCCGTCGTGATAATAAAGAAAAATAGTTGACACTACGCAAAAATTATCAATTAAATTAATTGGTTGTTATAACAGTAGAGTATTAATTAGATTATAATTAATTGTAATCACAAAATTGTATATGTATATGTATAAAATATAAATGTACACATGCTAATTGGTAAGCCATATTGTGACACATGGATCGTCGTTGTGACTACGTCGGTAATTTCCATCGAGCGAAAACATTTCGGACGAAAGTAGGTACCATAGGTAATACAAGAACGCGTACACCCGGACGACTTCCTCGCTCCGCGTGTTGTTCTGGTGCGAGGAGGGGCCAAGTGAGACAACCCGCGCGAATGACGCTCAACTGTACGAGAGAGGAGAAAGGCCACATCGTTTATGCTGTCCTGATAATGCACGGCCTACGTACGGGATGTGAGCACGCACCGCACTTCATTGCGGTCAAAGAACTAGAAGAAGAAGAACATGTAGGTGCATATAGATGTGTACACGATGCAGGATCGCCATCCGAGATAATGCGCTTCTTCGTTGTGCGTTTACGGTCGATATTCATTCACTGAAAAAAGAATAATAATTACCAAATGTTGAGTAAAATAATGTTGATCAAATGTTCGCTTAATGTAACTAAACATAATTTTACTTTTTTAAATATTTAGTAATTATTAGTAAACTGTTGATTATATTATTATATTTAGTATACTTATCATACTTATGTAAAAAAATTAAATTATTTTTTATTATATTAACCGAATATTGAATTCACTCAACATTTTGTAATTATTACTATAAACTCTTGTCAGAGTGTAGTCTGTTCGTTTTAATATTATTAATGTTTTAAGATGCGAATACGGTTCTGTGATTGGTTTAACATCTATAACAATTTTAAATATAAAAAATGACTATGAATACCGACCTACGTCTACACATGAATATCGAAGGAACAATATTTCATCTCTCGACACGAACGCGGAGAGGACAGATGCGCCTCTAACCTTTCCCTATCCAAATAGAATTAAAATCTCGGCTACAGTTTCCATGATTTACAATTGGACAATTATGAAAATACATTTCATAATTGTCCAATTGTAAATCGTGGCAAAATAGATTTCGTAGTTTAATGTATTAAATTTAACGAATAACAATAATAAATAATATTTAATAATGTAATAACAAATAAGAATAATACATTATAACAATAATAAGAATATTTTTCGAATAATCAACAGTCATGATATGCGAACAGACGGAAAACATGCGCGCCAAATATACTCCGATATGTGCGCAACTTTATACGTTAATGTACTTGTGATTCCATGTATTACATGTATACAGTTATTACGTGTATTGTTCTTCAGCTTATGTAAGCAATATTTTATTCAACATATTTACATGTGCATGTCCACGCAGAATACAAGTCATCATGATGACTCCAAAATGATGACTGAAAGTCACTTTCCAATCAATTACGGTTCATTTCAATACCATTTTGACATGACTTGTTGTTCCGTTTTGGGTAATAATAAATTAATTTTTTTTGTTACACAATGTACTATTACTATAATAATAATAATGATAATATATGCTCGATGTCCATTTATGACGTATCGAGCTGGAAGGAGCTGTTAATTGGGCGTGGTCCGTAGTAGCATCTTTTGAATGAAACCTGTATCAGGATACCACGTGGCCTCGGAGCACACTTCCGTTCTCCTTTTTTCTACGACGCCGTTATTATTATTGTTACTACATCAGTCGTGCGTTCCGTTCTCCCCTTCGCCGTTTCATAAGCGTTCAATAACGATCCCCTTTAACCGAAACGAGCAGGAATGGCGAGCCCCCGACGACAACAACATCAACAGGATCCCATCTGCTCGCAAGAGCATGGAAACTCCGTGAACGAGCTTCCGTAAGGAGCATACGTTCCTTTGCTCCGTACGTATTATATCTCGCGCCTTAGAATTCCGTCTTGTTCTCTCAAAAGCGATTCCCAGATCGCAGATAATATTTTTAATTGTTCATTACGTCACATGGAAAATAAATGTCAATAAATATATCGACAAAAGAAATAAAACGAAGTCAAAATCCTTAATCCTGGAGATTTGCACACTTGGATAAATTCGCTTGCATTATCTCGGCTACGAGAACATTCGTTTCACCAACAGACTTATTCTTCGTCTGGATGGCACATAATTTCTTATCGCGATTTTGAGCTTTTGAGATGCATCCAAGCAGAACAACAAGTCATCATGACATCAAAATTATGTCAAGTAACTCCAAAATAATTATTATTAAAAATCATTTTTCAGTCATTTACGATTCATTTTAACGTGATTTTAACGTTATCGTGACTTGTTCTGCTTGGGTATGTAGATACGTATTGTAGGAGAAGTTTATAAGAAAATGTGCCATCCCCTCAGAGGGAGATGAGCAAATCTAATTGATATTACGACTACTTAATTCTTGAGCTAATATTTATGCCGATTGTTCTCGACGGGCAGCTCTCTGCTCGTTCGACTCGGTCGAGCTCGTTAAAGTGGCCCTTTCCTTCCGCAGATGTCGCGCGCACAGAACAACCGAACCGAGACGTTAGCCTACTCGTAGCGCATGTAAGCCTGATAGGTGTGAACCACGGCGCCGCGTGCCGACGCAACCCATTGGACCTTCGAAGGAGACGCTACCATTGCGTCTCGTTAATCGCACGACGTGCGGTCGCCGCGCGCGAGGCCGCGGATACGGCACGACGCGGCGTGCCATCCGCGGGCGCGCGGGCGGGAGGGAAAAAAAAATGGCAGCGGTGGGATTCGAACCCACGCCTCCGAAGAGACTGGTGCCTTAAACCAGCGCCTTAGACCGCTCGGCCACGCTACCATCGACGAGAGCACGATCTCTTTTTCGGCTGTTCTCACGTGAAACGTTCTCAGGGAAATTAGAGCACGTCTCCGTCCTTGATCCCGTTCGACGCGATTGCGGAAAGACGGGAAACGGAGGGAAACGCGAAAGAAAATTCCGTATTCTTGAATCTATATCGTATCTGAAAAAAATCTGTAATATACATAATATATAGTGATAATATTTTTGTACGTGAGTCTCAATTTACAACCTGGCTTTAAGAGACCGTAAGCTGTAGGTTGTAAGAAATTGACCAATCACAGTTGATTATTTTTCTCATATTCAACTGTGATTAGTCAATTTCTTAAGGTTTTACGGCTTACGGCCTCTTAAAGCAAGATTGTAGACCGAGCATATTTCTGTCTTTAAACTGTTTTTGCGCGATCTTATTTAGGCTTTAATTGTTAGACTTAAGCGAATTGAGCAAAAAAATTCTTACGACCTAAAAGCATAAGTTCTTTGACCGATATATCGTCATTTACAATTTACGGCTTACAGTTTATGGCCTTTTAAAACAAGATTGTGGACCTAGACTGATATTTTTTGAAAATAAGAGTTGGAGTATCTATAGATTTTTATATAGTATATAACGCATAATGCATAAGAACAGGGCTTGGTCTTATTGCAAATAAATTTATTTAAAATATATTTTTTAAATAAAAATAAATTAAAACGTTATTTAGTATTTATTATTTTAAATAACTTCTTATTAAAAATTAAAACGTTATTTAGTGTTTATTGTTTTAAATAACTTATTATTTTAAATAACATTTTTGGGTCTTATTTCTTATTTTATATTTTAAATAATTTCTTGTGACCTATTTCTTATTTAATATTTTAAATAAGTTCTTAGAACCTATTTTATATTTTTTATTTCAAATAAGTCGTATCAGTTACTTTACCGATTCCGACGATTTTATATTTTAAATAAGTTTCTGAAACTTATTTTATATTTTTATTTTAAATAGTCTCTCTCTCTCTCTCTCTCTCTCTCTCGTATCAATTATTTTATCGAGCTCTGCATAAAACTTTCTTTCCATGAAATAAAAGACTCTGATTATTACTTGATTTTCTTATGTATTATGCGTTATGCAAAGGTCTGTGCCCCGACCTTAAGGCTTCAGTATAATATCTCCCGACTTTGTAACCTTAACGATAATTACATTCTCTCGTTTTCATTAGTGAACACTATTTACTTTCTTATTCATTCTTCCACTCTTTGTGCGCTTTTGTCCCCTTGTCATTCCTCTGAAAAAGAATCTGATGTCATCTGATGTTTCATCCGTGAAGGTCGCGTATATGCGCGAGTTCCAAAAATTATAAAAAAAGATCACTTTTCTCATATAGCGCGTCGAAACATGTGCTGTGATTTATAGAAATTATAGTTTTATTTCTCTGTGGAAATACAAGACTCCAATTCAGTAACTTTTAACGATAAATATCAGTATTGTTATCTTGTTACACAATTTTCTTTTCATTTATAATACTTGCACAACAATATGGACTATCAAAATAATTATGTAAGACGCTCACAAACTGATTGCTAGAATGTTAAAATATTTTGCAACGTTGCTTATCATGCTTGAGATTCCCACGTAGTTATTTTAATAGTAAATAAAATTATTTTATTTAGCTAAATTTTTAGATGCATCGAGAAAATCGTTCTTTCGCCTTTCCTCATAAATGCATTGATTAATTTCAAAGAATTAAAATTACGTAACATTGTATTATAATTGAATAAACTTTTAACCCTTCGTCGGCAACTGATCGAAGTCTTTAAAAGCACTATCGATATTTTGATTGTAAATTTTAATAGATAAATTTAAATCTGTAAAAAATAACTAAAGTACACAATTTGACTTTTATGATAATAAAAATTCAATGTTAAAGCTTTAATAAATATATATAATTTTGGTCTGATTTTTATATAATCCGGAACAAAAAAATTATTGTTTTTTGAAAACCTTCGTTGCTAATGAAAGAATTAAAATTCATGTTGCCGGCGGAGAATTAATAACAATAATTCAAATTTACAGATGTAACATAAAAAATATAATTGAACGAGTTCGGAAGATTAAGTCCCAATAAAATGTTAGGACATGAGACACTGATATAATTCCGATTATCGTTTTTGTCGATCGGTCGGCAAGTTCCATCACATTATACTCCCTACCCCATGCAGACATTCCCGATGAATCGCGCTCGTGTCTGGAGTAAGTGGTGAGTAAGTGATCCATATATAGACGCGCCCCCACGTTCCACCAATACGTATGCGCACCTGTCACGCATATATACGCAGCGCGACCGCGGTGGAGCGCACTTTTTGTGCTTGAGCTTGAGCTACGGTGGAGAGCCTCTGTGTACGGAGTGCGGAAAATCATTTTCCGGAGAGGAGATCCGACGAGACCTGAAGATCCGCCATGCCTGGACGCCCACTTTGGCAGGTAAGCGACGCGCCATTTCTTGAAATCGAAGCGCGATACGGGCCGTATCGCCATGTCTCTCTTTTATTTAATGTCGTCCATTTTCGACTCCGACGATTATTATTTTATTGCATTTTATTATAGACACTTCATCCCGTAAATTAGATTGCGAAAAACAATAATGTTTTGCAATTACAAATAGGAATAAATAATTTTAGCAATTTTTTACTACGATATTCTACGATAGTTGTTTTTTTTATAGATTAAAGACAGCTCTATTTATAGATTAAAACGTTAAATGCTTTTCATTTAATTGTTCAATTATTTTATGCTACATATTAAATCTTATTGTTAGTTGAAAACTTATACTTCGTATGATAACGCAAATGACAACAAAATATTTCTCTATAAAATAATAACACTGAGTAAGAGACTAAGATTACGAGAAAATTACGAAGAAATATTAGGATTAGGAAAAGTTTGAAAAAAATTTATTTCCTTTTAACCTTTGAATTAGAAATTTGGTGCGTAACAAATCAAGGCGCGCTTAAAAACATGCGTTAAAACTGATTAATATGATGATGATTAATTTCTATTTCATATTTTGCGACGGAAATTTTGCATGGAGAGAATTTTCTTTTAAAATTTACCGTGAAAATAGTAGTTATGGTACAATACAATATTTTAAAGATTTTTACCATGCACTTCGTTAAAATTGATCAAACTTATTTTATACTTTATTGTAGTTTTATTAATGAATGAGAGAGATTTACATTAAAATTCTTCGAAATACAATATCATCCCACGGTTATCATATTTTCAGGGTAAACTTTAAGAAAAAATTCTTTCCGTGTATATAAATATCGCGTAAACAAGATTTTAGATAGATTTCTCTATCTAAACTACTCTTACATATTTTTAAAAGCCTCTGAAAGTTTGAAGAAGAAACTTTTCTATTTCGGACACTCTCTGACTCACACTTACGTCAATCCGTGGGATTTTCGCCGACCTACGTACTAAGGCGTCCCTTTCAGGAAACACTTTCAACATTATGAATCATTAACCGAAATTTATCATTATTCGTGCTTCCTTTAAGAAAGCAAATAATTTTCAAACGTCGAACGAGGAATGATTTAAGATACGCCCAAATAATCTTCTTCCGAATCTTCTTTTGATATCAAATTTCAGAATAAACAAATCTTTATGCAATATACTACGTAAATCACGCTAATAGATCGGTAATCAATGATACAATAAAAATGCTATAATAATAATAATTAGGTTGATTGTGTATATTAACAAAAATTCTTTTAAAACGCCAGCAATTGCTGATGAGAAACTGAAACACGTAAGAGATTCTTTTCTCGCGATAGGACGACTCCATTTCAGAATAAAGTGATATTTCGTGACCTGGGTCCAGCAGCGGTCGCCGTGTATACCACGGTGATCCAGAAATAAACTGAAAGGCACTCGGATTTGCCAAGGAAAGCAAAAGTTATATAGGAATTAAATTTTACCGCGCCAGAAACATGCACGTTGGCGAAACGAGCTTATTAGCTTCCACGAAAAACTCAGAAAAGCGTGTCACGGATGACGTGATCGCGAGAGAGTTCCTGATTTATTTACAAACAGTGGATATTTTTATACCCGCGTGGGTGCAAAGAATAACACGACGCGAGGGAAGATAGACCGCGATGGAAGATAGACACAGAACGTAAGAAAAATCCTTCGTTTGATATGCGCTGCAGCGCATAAAACAAAACATAATGACAAAACACTATGCGTATGTGTGTTTAGTGGTCTGTTTTGTGTTCCCGCACTGGACTGTTCTAGAACTCTCTTTCTCGCTTTAAACAAATATCAAACGTATATCTATCTCACTTTAAGTTCCAAAAGTGTACACTAGTTTAGCCACAGAAAACAGACCTTAGATTTAAAACACTATATGTTTTAAATCCAAACACATAGTATTTTGTTTATTAAACAAATTGAAAAGAACATCTTCAAATATTCAAAAAATAGAGATAAGAATAAAACATTTTAATATCTTAAAATTAAATACGTTTTTTTACAGTGAGCCCGACTAGAGTTCTTTCTAATAATTGACAATTATGTTGTAAAAGAAAAATATACATATAAACAGTTGAAAGATACGTTGGATTTTATTAACAAAAATATTCTTTGTATCGCAGCTTTTGTAAACTATCACATTTGCGTTAATAATTGCAACTTTCCTCAGCATTTTCTTTGATTCAAGATGGTATTTTACATTTAATTTTATTACCCTAGAATTACTAGTGTATGAATATTGCATGAAATTGGCTTAATTCCAAATGCAATGTCGGTATTTCTAAGAACAGTTTCCTCGATCATTACATTCGTTTGCCTTAACCGTTCGTACCATTAGCATAACTTTCCGAAACTTATTTAGCCTATATATTTCCATGACGCGTTTTAAAACAGTGATAAATTTTACTTACAGAATAGATTACGTAAATTAACGAGAATGATAAGATGAAAGTTACAGAAAATAATTTTCTGAAAGATGTATATGGATTTATTTATTCATAAATTACACACGTATATAATTCGAATAATGGTACAAATTTGTAGAATCTTGCTAATTTATAAAAAAAAAGTAGAAATTTATAAAGATTAATTTATATAAGGTAGATACACATTTATGATATAATTTAAAATCGCAAAAGATTATAAAGGTAAAGCATGGTAATCATATTGTAAAACTGAAAAACTATTTCTAAATAGTATCCTAAATTTGTAAATATTAGTTGGATCTTTTGCCTGTCAGTATGTGTAGTATAATGTTGAGTTATGTGTATGTGTCATGTAGTTTGTGTTTACGTGTCCGTTTAATTGTGTGAACGTAATAATAATATTGTATCTTTTAGTTTTTAGTTTATGTCTTTAATATTCATATTTTCTTTGACACATCTTGTTATATTAACGTAATATTTTATTTCGAAATCGGCAATGAATACGTATATATGTAATTACTTGTATTTGTATAATGTACTGTATTATGTTTAATATAAAAGTTGCGTGTGATTGTGCATAAAAGTTGTTTGTGTAAATGATATATTGTTGTGTATATATACTAATGTATATGTATATGTAATGGAAATTAGGATTTTTCATAAAATATAAAGTCTGTACGATATCATAAATGACATACACGGATAGAGTTCGGACTTACATTTACATGCAAATTACAACTGTTACGAATTCGTATAAAAAATATATTCTTCCATGACTAGATAGAAAATTAATATTGCTATACATTATTAATATTTGATATATAGAAAAAAAGAATAAAATAATGAATAAATTAACTGTTAAACATCGATATCTAAAGATTGACTAAAGAAGATAATATAAGTGAAGTTAATAATAAATACTGTAGAGATGCGTATATATTCGCGACAGTACGAAAGAAATGATAATTCTTATAAAAAGAAAGTAGTGTCAACACAAATTATTCGATCTCATTTATGTCAATAATAACCGATGATAAAAAACAAATCGATTATTTGCAATTTTTTACGGACTTCATAAATTTGACAAATATACTTTAAAACGTAATATCCTTATTATTTCACACACACATTTAATACGCGCGGTTAAAAAATGCGACTTATTTCAATATTTTTATTGTATCATACTTCCTGTGTTCGATAGTCTAACCAGTCATTGTAGACGTATATGATACAGATGTGTGTTAATTCATTTCTATAAAAAAAATTTACATATGTCGTGTATTTCCAAAACCACCGTGACCAGCCTGGCTGGCACCCTTATTGTATCCCATCTGAAGACCCAGGTGACCCTCGCTAGCACGAAGTTGATCATCACTGAAGGTTCTCTTGTTCTCTTCCGACATTTTCGGTCCTAAACTTGGCCCAGTCCAGTCATGTTTCTGCGTCTATTACAAAAACATTTACTCTAATTAAATTTCACAAATACTTATTAACGATTAGAAATATAAATGAACTGTCGCAAATTATGCCGTGTTGATTTTACATGTATCAAATGGAAAGTTTTAACTTTTTTCTTTGTATATATATATAATAAAAACTTTTACTATTTTCTATATTTAAAATATGTAAAAAGTGTTGTTTATTTTTTTAAGTTAATAAAAAGAACCCGATATTTTCTAAAAATTTAAATATAAATATCCGTTCCATTGAAAGTTTCTTTATTATATTTTTTTTATTTCACGTAAAAATATATTGTGAATAATAGATATTTTGTTAGCTTTAATTATGATTTTAATAATCAATCAAACTATTATTGCGAACTACTCACGAGTCTGCCTAAGGCATATAAGCAGAGGGTGACTTGAGGGATGTTGCGTTTCTCGAAGAGATCAGCGGTTTGAAAAATTTCTTCTTGTGGGACACCATAGTTTTTGATCGCCGCTTGGAATCTGTTGACAGTAGTAAAGAATATATAAAGTCTTATAAAAATCGTTATATGAAGTAAGATAAAGAAAGATAGTTTGCTCTCGCTTACCTTTGAATATTTTCCATAAGCTGGAAATTGGTGCCCTTACTTTGAATCTTTTTGACCGATCCGGGCGCAAGTTTGTTAATTAAATTACAAAGGATCACACCATCTTTTAAAATGTCATCGTAGTTTCCTGGTGGGAGTTTCTCGCCTAACACAGCTTCGATCCAGGCGAGGACCTCGGTTTCCTGTTCCTTATTACGACCCTGAAAGAATGTAATATAACTATAATATACATATAAATTAACTTTTCATGTACAAACGCGTGTCGGCGCGATTATTTTCAACACTATCTTTCATCTCATTGCTGTCCAATACTTATTTCTACCAACGTAGATTAACTCTAATTTCTGTTCAATTCACACTTCTCATCTTTTTCTTAGATTTTCTTTCTAAAAATAAGAAAATAATAAAGAGTGAGTCAATCCCAAATTAATCTATACATTGAAAATGGGCATAAAATTTATTGTATTTCCCACGCGGGAATAAACTGTGCA